AAACCACTGACTACAAAAAAATAAATACAGTACTCGAAAAGAAATAACAAACTAATAAAATTATCCAAAAAATAAAAAGTAAACAAAAAATAAAGCACTCAAAAATATGCGCACTCCCTCCAACTTAGATCCAATATTATTCTTAACGAAAGATATTAACATAAAACTCAAAATAATCATGAATAAATAGTAAAAGAGTGTGTGCAAAAATAAAAATTGATAAAATAATAAAAATAATTCTAATTACCATGTACAAGTAAAAATAAAAGCTCACACTCACTCTAGCTTAAAGTCAGATTTGAATATGCACCATTTTATTTTTAATGACTTAAAAATATGGTGTCTAAACAACTCTTTTAATCGAACTATCCATTCAGACAACTAGCATATCCTTGAAACATTCAAGGAAAGGAAGATATATACATTTTTATGCAAATTCAAAAATGAGATATAAAATAGATATTTATCAATTATAGCACACAACTCAACTTTCATACCCTCGCCAAGATTGGATATGTGAATCTCATCACTTAATTTTTCATTATCAGGAGTATTAATATATTCATCCTCAGTTTGTAATTCAAGAAAAAAATCAATTTCATTAAATTGATCATGCTCAACTTGTTCTTCTTGGATCAACTTATTAAATACCATGGTCAATGTGTTGAGCACATATTTTATTTCTTCACTATTTTGACTCGTTTGGGCATTAAAAGCTAGTTGGGTTTCCATAAATTCATTCAAAATATTCTCCAATTTCTCTTCTTGTGGGTCATGGTATGAGGAATATTGGAGAGCCTCTAATGGTGGTGTGGAATGTACCAATAACTGATAATGTTCATTCCTCCAACCAAAATTAGGTTAAAAAGTTTCAAAATAATGGTTGGGGTAAGGTGATGGAGAATTAGGCAATATAATTGACCCATCTCACAAAAACATTTGAAGCATTGGATTTAAAAGTCACTTGTCAATGACATGCCCACACTCAACACATGTCTCACACGTTACTCCATAGATGAAACGTATGACACCATTTAAATAAACAAAAAAATGTACCTGAACTTGTGATGAAAATCACAAGATTTACATGTCGTTAATCCGAATCACCTTCCAAATTTGTGCGCTCGTTTTTCTTAGTAACGGATGCAAAAATGCTTGATCTTTAAAGTAGATTAAATATCAATGTTTTCCAAGCGTAGGAAGATTATCGTTTACTAACTCGGTCGATTACCAAGGCTGTCTCTTCAGGAAAAATGAAGGACAAAGATAGAAAAAGAAAAGTAGAACTCTTGAATTTTGAAAAAGGGTTTTCAAAAACTAGTAAACTAAATAATAATAATTAAATACATCAGGTTAATCTTTAGAGTTCATCTCACCGTGAATATGCATTTTGACTCAAACTTTATAACTCACCTAAGATTGTGGTCAAACGCACTCAAGTCGTAGATATTTATTTAACACCCAATTTATTAATAATAAATATATATTTATGAAAATTGAATTGATTAGAGGGAAATTCACTTCGATTGCAGTGATTCCAAGAATTATCAGTGCCAAATCTTAGTTTTCGATGGGTAAGCAAGTGATTTTGATTTTAATCATTTAATTAACCCAATTAACTCGACAATACACCAGCCCTAGTTTTGAGTCAAAAACCCTAATTCACGGATGAGACTATTTCATCTGATCATACCAGAATTTAACTACTTCATTCGTTCATACCGGAATTTAACTACTCAATTGTAACGAAAATAAAATCGAAAGCAATGAAAGAACAAATGACAATTAAAAGTAAATAAGTAAATCTTGTATGGAAATTGAAATTGAAAAGAAATTACACAAAAATAAATTAAATACTATAAATAAATCATTAGAATTGAAAATAAAAAATACTTGTGCATGTGAACTAAATAAACAAATAAAGAAGGAGGAGGAGGGGCAGCCCTCCTGGAAATCATCCAAGGAGGAAGCGGTCTCCCCTTAAAGTCTCCTATGGGTTGATATTTACAAATGATTTTCTATAGGTCATCTTTCCTTCTATGTCTAAATCTTATTCCTAGAAAATTTTTGAAAACATCTCAAAGAATATCCCTAAGATATGGCCAGTCAAAATCCTTCCCTATCTTGTCTCTTGCTCCACCAATAAAGTCTTGGAAGGTATACCTGAATATTTAGTCAGTCAACACCTAGGAGAAGGAGTCATCGCTTTGGAATTGTACTAACCTATCGGTAGGAAGCACAAAACAACCTACCGATAGAAATGTTCACTAATTTCCTTCTACTCGTTGCCTTGCTCTTCTATTGATAGACACCTCTCTGTTTTCAACCTACAAGTAGAACAGGTTTCTGCTTTACTTCTACTGGTAGGAATGCACTTTTACTGGTAGAATCAATTTATGCTCACTATTAAACCTATAAGGCTAGTCTTTTCCCAAATTTTGCTTGTAATGCTCTTGGCTCAACTCTTGAATCTCCTAACTCATACACAAAGTCTTCCATATCATCAAAATGTACATAAATCCATGCTCCTACATTAATTTACCTATAAACACAAATATTCTCTATAAAACACAAAACTAAACTAAAGCAAAATATGTAACTAATAAGCAAATCTAAGATGAATGGATTGAGATATAAAATCATGCAATATTATGTGCTCAGCAAAAGTCATACATCTTACTAAGTTTATGGACAAGTAACCTAAGTCTAAGTCTAGAAATTCTTCACCTTTAAAAGGCTCACAAGATAGAGTGAACAAAACCCCTTCTATGCCCAAGACTAAAATAGATTTAAAAACTTCTAGAGAGAAGAGAATGAGTCCTCCATCTATATGCTGAGTTAAGCCTAGAGATGTAAAGGAAAAACAAGTGTGGGTGAATAGTAAGGACCTTTAGAGGCTAATTACCTCAATCAAATTGGAAGCTCCGAGTGCTACGAATGAGGTTGAGTCACCTAAGAAGTAGGTGAGGTGAGGGTGTGTACCTACGTGTTTTGTCAAACAATGCATCTGATATCTTAGTTTCATGCATTGTAAATATTTCTTTTCTGTTTATTTTACTTTGTTTTTGTTATATGAAAAAAGAAAATAGAAGTTGAAAGTGCAAAAATATTTTTGATGTATAGTGGGACATCTTTTTAGGATTTATGGGTAACTGCTTTATTTTTGTTGTTATTGCATAGTTGTGCATCTTTTATATTTTTATAATTTTTTTAAAAATACAAAACATTTGAAAAGAAAAAAAATTAAAAAAGGACTTTCTTTTGTTTGTTTTTTGTTGCTAATCATAGTAGTCATATTTTGGTTTGATTTATAATGTATCCATCTTTAATCAGAGTTAAGTGTGTCGCTATGAGTGATATTAGGGGATAGAGAATTTAGTGGTTATATGTGTTAGTGCATGATCTTTGAACCAATTCTATTTCATCCTAGCATGTTTTTGTAGTGTAATCTTTGTGAAAATTCATAAAACCAAGTGCACGTCCAACCATTCACCTTCATAATTTAGAGTCTATCAAGCTTGAATGATTAATAACCCTAAATGACTCTAAATGTTGATGATATGTGAACACATAGCTAAAGGTTAGTAAAGTCCCCAATGTGGCCAAATATAAATGAGAGGCATAAACATTAAATGTTGAGAGTACTATATGCTTAATGTCATTACTTACATATAAAACTCAAAGAGCCAAGTTATACAAGTTTAGAAGCATACCATGTAAAGTACACAATGTTCCAATTAAGGCCATTATGAGTAAAAGGGATGTAAAAAATAAGGGGAGTGTATAAAAAGATGAGAAAAAAAGGGCACTCACTAACCGATTTTATACTCACTTAGAGGATGCATTAGGAATTCATGTAGAGCTTTATCAATCATTTAATCTAGACATGAATTAATCAAAGATGTAACATTTGAACATGTGTGAGTAAAATTGAACTGAGTGAGAGGAGGTTTCTCTATAATGCATCAAAATATAGTTCTATATTCATTAATATGCCTTAGAGTAATATACAAGGATGATGAATAAGGATGTATTTTCTATGTTTTGAACTTGTGTGNAGTTCTATATTCATTAATATGCCTTAGAGTAATATACAAGGATGATGAATAAGGATGTATTTTCTATGTTTTGAACTTGTGTGATTTTCATTATTAATGATTTCTTGCATTTATTAAAATTTAAAAATTGCATTACATTTAGATCCTAATTTCATCCATGCATTTGAATTTAATTGCATTTAGGTTGCATATAAATTATGCATGAGTTTTGAGGCTTAAAGGATCGAATCGAGGAGTATATGAGGAGTCGGTGTGGTTTCATGAGCATTGAATGCTTCACTGTCAGTTGGACATCACAACATTAAGGACCGCTTAAGCAACCCTCACATCGCACAAGCCCCTGCAAATAGTCGATGCCTAGGGTTTTAAATATGCTAACTAAACATGTTATATTCTAAACACCTCCAATCGAGATCCCAGTCTCCCCAAACCCTATTTTTTGCTTATATTTGATAGTCTGATTTTTGTGCTAACCACTTTGTTACGTATATTCATGGGATTAAGTTTAGTTTTTCTGTAACTCTCATAGTTACCACTCTTGGATTGCCTAAGATAGAGGATGACACCCTTGGACATAAGCCTGTTGATGAGTTGCCTTGTCTCTCTATTGTGGCTACTAAACTACATGGGATTCCATATCATAACAATTGGGTTGAACATAAATTCTTTCAAAAAAACTTGAGAGTAAAGGATATTGAATCTTATAGGCAACTACAACATTGACCTAAAAATCCATGTTTTTGATATAATTGTCTAGAGAGCATATATGCTCACAACACAGGGGCTGGTTAGACCTTGATCTACCTTTATTGATTCTTGGGTTCATTCAGCGAGCTTTTAAGAAGGGTAGAGTATTAGATGGTCTTCCTTTTAGATCATTCATTACTCATATTTGCAAGGCAGANACTTAATCTACCTTTATTGATTCTTGGGTTCATTCAGCGAGCTTTTAAGAAGGCTAGAGTATTAGATGGTCTTCCTTTTAGATCATTCATTACTCATATTTGCAAGGCAGATGGTGTAGTTATCTTGCCTAAGGATATGATGGAGAAAACCAAAAGGCCACTCAACAAGAGTTCTTTGAAATTGAGTAAAGCTCAAGTTGAGTATATTGTGGTGAAGGAGGAAAGAAAGAATGAGATAGAGGACCCACATGCTAAGATTGGATTTCGTGCACCACCAATAGTTCACTCACATGCGAGTACACCTAGTACACCACCATTTGAGTTTGGTTCATTATGGCTACCTAATTAGCTTCTGTAGTTGACATGCTTACTTAGATGGAGAAGTGTATAGATAAGCATCATCGATTGACATCTTAGAGGTTATATGTCATAGATAGTCGGATTGTAGATCTTGAGACTGCCCATAAGTCTGCTTTGGGATCAATTGAACCCAGAGTTGGGCTACTTAGGTAGTTGTTGAAGGGAAAAAAGAGGTAAGGAGAGCCAGAGTCTAATGATAGTAATGAAGGAGTCAAATCTGCCACAACCTTGATGTAGTGGAGCAAGTGATGGTGGAGATATTGATCGTGATGGTGGAGCAAATGATACTGCCACCTAGCTATTAGGTTTAGGAGACTTAATGTAGGACCATGTGAGAGCCTTTGAGTGATTTACAGTCATTCATGTTCTTGTACTAAAGTACTCTAGTTTTTCTTTGTTATGCTTTTATTTGTTTAGTTTTTTGTTTGTTAGTTGACATACTCTTGTCTCGATACTTTATAGTTATGTATTTGCTTTAGACTTGAGGTTATATGTCACATGTTTTGTCCTTAGCTTATTCTATTTTTTGTATCCTTGTTATGCTAAATATTTTATTTTCTTATCTCTTTAATAAATGTCTCTTTACTTTACTTGTTACTATTGTGATTTGGCACTTCATGACAAAAAGGGAAGAAATTTTGGGATTAGTTGGGGTGAAATTTATGACTAGCTAGGAATTAGTTGCTTGAGAGTATAAAAAGGGGGAGTTTGTTGACATACTTAGGGGAAGAACATTTACTAATTTGGTTTGACGTCAGATATTGTTTGTGTTAATTTTTCACTTGTTATTTGCTTTTGTAAACACCAACTTAGGGGAGACTTGTGTATTGTCTTTGCTAAATCCATAGGTTCTCAAGAACAATGGGCTAGTATTACTTATTTATGTTACATATTGCACTTGTATAATGTTAAGATGAACATGTCCTATACTTCTTTTGATGATTTACATACCTGTGATTATATTATATCTTTTTTATCTATGATGCTATTCACAAGGTATTGGTTGAGTTGTGGTGTGCAGGGCTATGATCTTCAAAAACATTCATCATCAAAAGATTAGTCTTTGTACTTAGTTTTAAGATTGTGAGACTTGTACAATGATTGTTGAGATTACTTTACAATTTTTTTGTTCTTAGTGGTTTTGGAGTTGTAATTTTAATTTTTTTACTCTTGTATTTTTTCATGAAATCGCCGAGGGGGGAGCTTCTTAGAAATATGTTTGTAATTGGCTAATTTTGTGAACTTGTTGTAAATATCAACTTAAATCCATGATCATTATGCTTCAAAGATAAAGTTGTGAAAGCATTAAGGAAAGAGGCATTCAAGTGTCAAAGCCATATCAAGAAATATCCAATGCACCTTCAAGAACTTACGACAAAGATAATGACCAAGAGATCTAGATCCCTTGTTTTAATTTTAGACTTAGGATAATTAATTTAAAATGGATTTGGTAATTATCTGTGAATATATCTTAGGCTTTTTTTAAAAATATATTTTATAAACCTTAAATCTGTTTTGAAAATATTGTTTAAATCATTCATCGAACCCTATTTGAGCAACACCTTTTAGTGCTCAATAGGTCTAATTTTTGCTTCGTTTCTATCTTAAAAACTAGTAGGGACATCCCTCAGCCCTCTCATCTTTTGCTAGAACATTCTATGAATACTTAGGGACATTGAACTAAAAAACCATTTGAGACAGCTGTCTGGCCACTCAAGCGGTCTAGTAGACGACTCGAGCGGTCCAGGAGACAACTTGAGCGGTATGCTCCTTGGAGGTCTAGATCACTCCAGAAATCATCGCCCCTCTCATGGTTCAAGAGTTTAGTCATGAATATGAGGTTTCGTTGGTCCCAATTAAACTCTTTTTTTGGGGCCTATTAAACTTCGCACATTGGAGAAGAAGATCTAGCTTGGTGATCAATAAAACCCACTTTTGTGTGTGCATTCTGAGACTTTTGGGTGTGACGCCTTGAAGATTTCTCTAGGGGCCAAGACGGTTAATTGCAGTGAACGTGTCCAAGTGAATCTACTCGAGACTTCAGCAAATGATATTCGAAGGAGGGATTTATGATGAAAAATGAACATCTAGCCATGAGAAGTGGTCGAGGTATAAGACTTGAGTATGTGTAAATTAATTTTGAGTATAGTGGATATGGCTCAAGGTAAATCGGGATCAGTTCCATGACTTTTTTTGAGAAGGATTTCCCAAACCACAAATTTCTTGTGTTGTGGATGTTCTTAGTGATTGCTTTAATTTCACACACACACACACGCATACTTGCAATTTCACGCCCAATATTTGATGAATTGTTATTTTAATTGGTTTATTTGAGTTATTCACCAATTTGGATTTTGCGAACATAGGTTTTCGTGTGGAATTGTGGACATGGTGAAGAAGAATCTAATACAATCAATTGCCAAATTTTTGCATTTTTTGTTGAAAAAAGGGTTCACGCACTTCATTGCTTTGATTAACTTGTTAATTGGTAATTGTGGTGAGTTAGGTTTAAAATTGGTGTTTGCTTAGTCATGAATTTTTAATAAACCTATTCACCCCTGTTTAGGGTGGGTCTAATAGTTTCACGTCTATAATCATGAGGGAAGATCCACTATGCATCTCTCCCCAATAGAATAACTCTAGAACCCTAAGACTAAAGGCCATCCATCTTGGATCTTCTATTGAGCCTTACAAGTTGAAGAAGAATTTCTTACTTGGAGTTTATAAAACCCATTGAAGGAATGTGTATCCCAAGTATCTTGGCAAAAAAGGTCGCTCAGTGAGCCTAAATGATCCATTGTGGTGGAGACGTTCAAGTGAAGTAACTCATAACTCTAGGCAGGGAAACCGAAGGGAAGATTTAGTAAAGACAAGGAGCATTTAACTATGATATTAGTTAATGTATAATTCTCAAATACTTGTACATCAACTTTGAGTTAGTGGATTAGGCTAGGTGAACCCCGAATGGTTTTGTAACTTTTTTTTGGTTGGGTTATCACATAAACAAATTGATGGTGTTATTTTTTGCTTTAATTTTTGCATAAACAAATTTTGGTCTTTAAACTATTGAATATGTTTCTATATAGTTGCTCAAACAGACAACATTCAGATTATTAGCGATTTTTTATTATAAACTTGTCACGTGATATCTAAATATTGGTAAAAAATAATTTGGATAACTTTTGATCAAATTTTTACGTAAATTTTGGTCAAAGAATTATCCAAATTATATAGTTTTGATTATGAGATATTCAAATTTTAGTTAAAAGCTATCCATTTTATTCATTTTGGTCAACAACTTAAATTTTGGTCAAAAGTTACTCAAATTATTTATTGTCTATATTTAGGTATTACTTGACAAGTTTAAGATAAAAAATTATCAGTAATTTCGATGTTATCTGCTTGAGAGACCACATAAACATANTAAGGAGAGCCAGAGTCTAATGATAGTAATGAAGGAGTCAAATCTGCCACAACCTTGATGTAGTGGAGCAAGTGATGGTGGAGATATTGATCGTGATGGTGGAGCAAATGATACTGCCACCTAGCTATTAGGTTTAGGAGACTTAATGTAGGACCATGTGAGAGCCTTTGAGTGATTTACAGTCATTCATGTTCTTGTACTAAAGTACTCTAGTTTTTCTTTGTTATGCTTTTATTTGTTTAGTTTTTTGTTTGTTAGTTGACATACTCTTGTCTCGATACTTTATAGTTATGTATTTGCTTTAGACTTGAGGTTATATGTCACATGTTTTGTCCTTAGCTTATTCTATTTTTTGTATCCTTGTTATGCTAAATATTTTATTTTCTTATCTCTTTAATAAATGTCTCTTTACTTTACTTGTTACTATTGTGATTTGGCACTTCATGACAAAAAGGGAAGAAATTTTGGGATTAGTTGGGGTGAAATTTATGACTAGCTAGGAATTAGTTGCTTGAGAGTATAAAAAGGGGGAGTTTGTTGACATACTTAGGGGAAGAACATTTACTAATTTGGTTTGACGTCAGATATTGTTTGTGTTAATTTTTCACTTGTTATTTGCTTTTGTAAACACCAACTTAGGGGAGACTTGTGTATTGTCTTTGCTAAATCCATAGGTTCTCAAGAACAATGGGCTAGTATTACTTATTTATGTTACATATTGCACTTGTATAATGTTAAGATGAACATGTCCTATACTTCTTTTGATGATTTACATACCTGTGATTATATTATATCTTTTTTATCTATGATGCTATTCACAAGGTATTGGTTGAGTTGTGGTGTGCAGGGCTATGATCTTCAAAAACATTCATCATCAAAAGATTAGTCTTTGTACTTAGTTTTAAGATTGTGAGACTTGTACAATGATTGTTGAGATTACTTTACAATTTTTTTGTTCTTAGTGGTTTTGGAGTTGTAATTTTAATTTTTTTACTCTTGTATTTTTTCATGAAATCGCCGAGGGGGGAGCTTCTTAGAAATATGTTTGTAATTGGCTAATTTTGTGAACTTGTTGTAAATATCAACTTAAATCCATGATCATTATGCTTCAAAGATAAAGTTGTGAAAGCATTAAGGAAAGAGGCATTCAAGTGTCAAAGCCATATCAAGAAATATCCAATGCACCTTCAAGAACTTACGACAAAGATAATGACCAAGAGATCTAGATCCCTTGTTTTAATTTTAGACTTAGGATAATTAATTTAAAATGGATTTGGTAATTATCTGTGAATATATCTTAGGCTTTTTTTAAAAATATATTTTATAAACCTTAAATCTGTTTTGAAAATATTGTTTAAATCATTCATCGAACCCTATTTGAGCAACACCTTTTAGTGCTCAATAGGTCTAATTTTTGCTTCGTTTCTATCTTAAAAACTAGTAGGGACATCCCTCAGCCCTCTCATCTTTTGCTAGAACATTCTATGAATACTTAGGGACATTGAACTAAAAAACCATTTGAGACAGCTGTCTGGCCACTCAAGCGGTCTAGTAGACGACTCGAGCGGTCCAGGAGACAACTTGAGCGGTATGCTCCTTGGAGGTCTAGATCACTCCAGAAATCATCGCCCCTCTCATGGTTCAAGAGTTTAGTCATGAATATGAGGTTTCGTTGGTCCCAATTAAACTCTTTTTTTGGGGCCTATTAAACTTCGCACATTGGAGAAGAAGATCTAGCTTGGTGATCAATAAAACCCACTTTTGTGTGTGCATTCTGAGAGTTTTGGGTGTGACGCCTTGAAGATTTCTCTAGGGGCCAAGACGGTTAATTGCAGTGAACGTGTCCAAGTGAATCTACTCGAGACTTCAGCAAATGATATTCGAAGGAGGGATTTATGATGAAAAATGAACATCTAGCCATGAGAAGTGGTCGAGGTATAAGACTTGAGTATGTGTAAATTAATTTTGAGTATAGTGGATATGGCTCAAGGTAAACCGGGATCAGTTCCATGACTTTTTTTGAGAAGGATTTCCCAAACCACAAATTTCTTGTGTTGTGGATGTTCTTAGTGATTGCTTTAATTTCACACACACATACTTGCAATTTCACGCCCAATATTTGATGAATTGTTATTTTAATTGGTTTATTTGAGTTATTCACCAATTTGGATTTTGCGAACATAGGTTTTCGNCACACGCATACTTGCAATTTCACGCCCAATATTTGATGAATTGTTATTTTAATTGGTTTATTTGAGTTATTCACCAATTTGGATTTTGCGAACATAGGTTTTCGTGTGGAATTGTGGACATGGTGAAGAAGAATCTAATACAATCAATTGCCAAATTTTTGCATTTTTTGTTGAAAAAAGGGTTCACGCACTTCATTGCTTTGATTAACTTGTTAATTGGTAATTGTGGTGAGTTAGGTTTAAAATTGGTGTTTGCTTAGTCATGAATTTTTAATAAACCTATTCACCCCTGTTTAGGGTGGGTCTAATAGTTTCACGTCTATAATCATGAGGGAAGATCCACTATGCATCTCTCCCCAATAGAATAACTCTAGAACCCTAAGACTAAAGGCCATCCATCTTGGATCTTCTATTGAGCCTTACAAGTTGAAGAAGAATTTCTTACTTGGAGTTTATAAAACCCATTGAAGGAGTGTGTATCCCAAGTATCTTGGCAAAAAAGGTCGCTCAGTGAGCCTAAATGATCCATTGTGGTGGAGACGTTCAAGTGAAGTAACTCATAACTCTAGGCAGGGAAACCGAAGGGAAGATTTAGTAAAGACAAGGAGCATTTAACTATGATATTAGTTAATGTATAATTCTCAAATACTTGTACATCAACTTTGAGTTAGTGGATTAGGCTAGGTGAACCCCGAATGGTTTTGTAACTTTTTTTTGGTTGGGTTATCACATAAACAAATTGATGGTGTTATTTTTTGCTTTAATTTTTGCATAAACAAATTTTGGTCTTTAAACTATTGAATATGTTTCTATATAGTTGCTCAAACAGACAACATTCAGATTATTAGCGATTTTTTATTATAAACTTGTCACGTGATATCTAAATATTGGTAAAAAATAATTTGGATAACTTTTGATCAAATTTTTACGTAAATTTTGGTCAAAGAATTATCCAAATTATATAGTTTTGATTATGAGATATTCAAATTTTAGTTAAAAGCTATCCATTTTATTCATTTTGGTCAACAACTTAAATTTTGGTCAAAAGTTACTCAAATTATTTATTGTCTATATTTAGGTATTACTTGACAAGTTTAAGATAAAAAATTATCAGTAATTTCGATGTTATCTGCTTGAGAGACCACATAAACATATTCAATATTTCAATAATCAAAATGATGTAATTGAAATATTAGAGATAAAAATTATACAAACCTCATATTTTGAAAATATCTAGTACAATTATCACTTTTTTTTTAATGGGTTTAGGAAGCCATTGTATTCATCCAATCAAACGTGGTATGTCATTAAGTACTTAATGGGCAGCTCCATGTAACCCAGCCCATTTGAGATCAGAGACAGCTGCGTTGTTCGAAAGGCTAGAAACTGTGAGAGACGAAGGGAAAAGATCCTATTTACTAGCTTCTAGAGAGGTAAGAAAGAGGAATGGTCATGTCACGACAGTAGACAAGTCGCTCTAATCTCTGGAAAATGAGAGAGAGAGAGAGAGAGAAGGGGGGTGGGGGAGGGGGGTGATTCACCCACGCGCTGATCTTGCTTTCTCCGCGTCTTGGTAGGCTTTGAGCCTGGGGGAAATTCCCCCGCCGATAGTATACCCCTCTGGCAATCCTCTCCACCTTATATCTCTCTCTTCTCCCTCAATCTTCTACCCCAAACGGTCCCTCCTCTCTCTCTCTCTGTCTCTCTCTCTCTCTCTCTCAGAACCTTCCTTTTCTTCCGCATCGGCCTCTCGTCATCATCTTTATATGCTTGTCCTCTACTTGTTTTTCGGCTGATAAGAAAAAAATCCACTCCCCCAAGAGATGGACAAGTAAAGATTGCCCAAAGAAGACCCATTTGCATGATTTGTTAACCTTGAATTTTTCCAACCTACTATTTTATCAGCCAGAAACAAGCATACAATACCGCCATACTTTACAATAGCGAAGAGTCTTTGTATATATACATGTATAAGTCCTTCAGAAAAGGAAAGCACAAAGAGAGAGTAGTCACCTCCATATTCAAGGCTCTACGAGACTAATCCTTTTTGTCTCTGAAAAAGAGGTGGAAGGGGGGTTGAAACTGAGGAAAAAAATCAGGAGTTTGAAAGCTTGAAAAGGAGCTTTGGAAGATTCAAACTGTCATAGATCCAAACTCAACAGTAGTGGTAGTAAAACTGCTTTTAATAAAACAGAAGAAAAGGTTTGACCGAAGAAATCGAGGCCACGCAAACTTTACAGGCAAACAGTATTAGAGACCTCCCACCAAATTCTGTTCTATTGTGTTTAGGTATGTCTAACTTTTTTTTTGGTAAGAAGCAGTACATATTTTATGGTAAATAATATCTTTTTTTGAGAGGCCATCTTTTGGTTCGCACTTGTATATACGTATATTTAGAGGGTTCATCCCAAGAAGACTATATAATAATATCAAATGTCTCATTTTACTAGTATTGAAATTCAAGCAGGATCTACGCTGGAGACTTTATATCGAAAGCAGTGAAATTCTAAGAACTCTCCTATTTTCACCAGATCCAAGCCACATTCCACCGGGTACCATTCATTTACCTTCCTCTCTTCGTTCCCACTACCCATTCCACCCCCTCCCCCACCCCAACACCCCTCTTTTCGCCTCCGAACCCCGGCAACATAAGGTATAAACACATCAGATACTATTGCACTAATCTCTCTCTCTCTCTCTCTCTCTCTCTCTCTCCCCACTTCTAGAGCCGGCTGGGGCCAACAAACCCTAGGTAGCGTTTTCTTGCTCATTTGAGAACTACTGACTCAACCATCGGAGTGTTAAGACTTAAGAGAGGGAGAGGGAGAGGGAGAGAGTAGGTGCTGTAATTTGGGAAATCTGCGTGATTCTTCGTGCATAAGATTTATATAAGTTTCCTAATCCATTCTTCGTGCATAAGATTGATGTAAGTTTCCTAATCCATTTGTTTTAACAGCTTGCTCAAACCTCCTATAGCGCTGCCAAAGCCAAAGGTAGATTGAACCACATTGTAGTTCGATATTGTCCCATCCAATAAACTGAATCCATCAAGAAATTGAAGGGTTCGGATCCAGCAAGGAGGTTCTACAAGGTATTCATTCCAAATTTAGGCTACTTTGCCTTATCAGACCACTCGCTCAGGGACTAACTTAACTAGCTGTGAGTTATACTATCTTTATAGCTGTCAACTCAAGCCCTTGATTTACTAGTTGGTTTTAACATGACATCTTATTCCTTCTTTTTTTTTTTCTCTTTTTTTTGTGCTGTTCTTCTCTCCAACTTCAAATATTGCCAGTGTACGCATAGATTCTACGTTTCTCTTTGCCATTTACTCATTTGTTCTGCGTCAAACTTGAGTGCTCCCCATATATCAGATAAAATTCAAACTTTTTCATTTTTCCTTTTCTTTTTTTCGACTTATAGAGTTAAAAGCTGAAACCAAATAGCAAAAATGAACTTTCTGCACTTTATTAGCCTTCATGTAGTCCGGATTTGGTTGTTCTTTTGTCATCAAGTTAGACAAGTTCTACACAAACTTTTATGGATCCCTTGAACAAGCCAATAAACAGACAACTTGTGTTTCTTGTAAGTGATGTGATTTTCTTGCATGAATATCTCACTTTTTTTGTATCTCCAGATAAATCATGAAAAGCATATAGAAAAAAATTCTAGTAAGAGATATGGTTGTACAGAAACTTTTATAGACCCCCCCTTATGAAAACTTTGAACAACCCAATAATGGCCACAATTTACCGTATTTCTCGTAAAAGATGTAATTTCCTTGTATGTATATATCACTTTTTTCTACCCACAGATAAGTCAGGAAAAGAATAGTCTGGAATTCTTGCTAGTGGATGACAATGGCTTCTTCATCCAACTCGCCATGTGCAGCGTGTAAGTTCCTCCGCCGTAAGTGCCAGCCGGAGTGCGTGTTTGCACCATACTTCCCACCGGACCAGCCCCAGAAATTTGCAAACGTACACAAAGTGTTCGGAGCCAGCAATGTCACCAAGCTGCTCAATGAATTGCACCCACATCAAAGAGAGGATGCTGTCAATTCCCTTGCTTATGAGGCCGACATGCGCCTCCGTGATCCCGTCTACGGCTGCGTCGGAGTCATCTCTCTCCTCCAGCACCAGCTCCGGCAGCTCCAGATGGACCTCAGCTGTGCCAAATCTGAGCTCTCAAAGTACCAAAACTTGGGGATCTCCAGTCATGGTTTACTAGCTGCGGCAGCAGCGGCAGCGACCGCTACCACCCACCACCACCAACAGAACTTGGGAATCAACTTGATAGGTAGTGGCGGGGGTGGCGGCGGCCGTGATCACCTTTACCATCACCAGTTCTTCCCACGAGATCAGCCATCAGTAATCAGGACCTTTGATTCCGGCAATAACTACGATGCAAGCAGCCTTATTGCTATGAATGTAACGGCCAGCATTGGGCAACTCAATCAGTTCCAGCAACCTAGAGCTGCCAATGGGGATGACCGCCGAACACCCATTGAGCCGTCTTAGGGCTTTACAATTTCATGGACCCAAAGTCTACCCATCAATGATAGGTAAAATATCCATCCTTTCATCATTGTTATTATTGTCTTTTCTTTCTTCGTATTTCTCTTACCATTATTACAGTTGGAGTACAATGCTAATGTAATTTAGTGAACCTAATCGTTTATAATTATTAAGTTAACAATAGACTCTAATATTGTTGAGATTTGTGATTAATTCAATAATTATGATAAATTAAATTAACAAATTAAATTCAAATAATATTATTCATCTCAAGTTCGGAAAGACTTTAAGGGAATGAAGAGTGTGAAAACCATCTTTTAGGTTTAGGCCAGTATATCAAATGTTTGGGGAGCTCCTTTATTTATTATTTTAAGGGAGCGGGAAGATATGTTAGAAGGATTTACTAATTTTATGATATATACATTGTTTGTTTCGTTCCCAAACAGTTGTGGGGTTGTTTCTTGATGATCACTAATGGCTCTGGGCGAGAAGAGAGAGAGAGAGAGAGAGAGAGAGAGAGAGTTAATTTGTTGTTTTGGGGCTGGGATACAACAAAAGGTGTTCAATTCGACATTAACAGAAATGAAAAGCTGAAAGAAGGGTTCGGAGAAGAACATATTTTACCATTAGCAAAGCTTATGCCAATAATATACTTTGAAAACCCAATTGCTTTGTCAACAAACAATGCCGAGAAGATACCAACTTGCTGACTCCAGTGTAACGCACTATAATTTATTCCAGATGATCAATGCGGCTGTCAAAGATCAGCTGCTAATGACATGCATTTTCCTCGACTCAGACGGGAACACCACGAGACCTAGTTTCCAGATTTGAATGTCACGTTAAAAAGAAGGGAGTAATGTTAGACCTACTAAAAAATAACACTAAAAATAAGAATCAAATAATGTGGTGGTGGTCTTGGTTTTATTTTTAGACTTTTGAAATTTAAATTTGAACACTTATAGTAATGTCATATCATATAATCTATTTTTTCCCCATTTTTTTATCAATGTAACACAACTGGAAAAAAGAAAAGGATTCAATCCCCATTTTCAGAACATGCAAGTGGACATTCTTATGAATTACATACTTAGTTTAGTGTATTTCGAGATTTTGATCACTTATTTATAGAACCGTATTTTGACTAGTAAATATTTTCTTATGGTATGCAGGTTTTGAAGAATTAACTATATTGAGAGAGAGAGAGAGAGGAAGAGAGAGAGAGAGAGAGAGAGGAAAGCTTGGCATTTCATGTTAACTTCCTTTTATAGACAATTTTGCTGTCAGCTAATATATTTCAATGCTTACTGTTTCAAATCTTTATAATATAAAACTAAGACGGATTTTAATAAATTCATCTAACAGTCACTAATATCTCTCTTAAAATCATTCACATTAAATTTTTTCTTTTTCAAATTATTCATTTCTCACTTATGTTGCACCGTACTTTCAGATAAGAGTTTTTCGTGTTTGATAATACATTACTAAGCTAAAATAGAGCAGTGACCATGCAATATTTATCTTTTAATTAGTAATTTTTTTATCAGGCAATGTAAAATTATTGTTCTGGAAAGGAGAACTTGATATGGATCTTCCCTCACGATTATACACATTGAACTAGAGACACTTTACCTAAAGGGGGATTAATAGGTTTTTTAATTTTAACTCAATTGATTAATAGTAAAAATCTAAACGACCACAATTATCTCTTCCCACAAAAATATAATAATTAATGTGAGAACCCTTTTAATCACCACAACCCATTTGACACATGACGATTGATTTTACTTAATCTTCAATTAATTCATTCACAATCAATTTTACGTCGATCACAAATCCCATACTCAAATTGCTGTGTACTAACAATCATAAGTGCATACGATAAACTATAATAACACAAGTGATTTATTGATGGAAAAAATCATCCTTAGGAAAAATCGTAGAAATCCATTGGAGGTTCACCAAAACCTAATCTATTACTCACTAAGTTAATGTGCAAATACTCGAGTCTTATATTTCAATCAATACTATGACTAGATACTCTTTTCCTTGTTATCTCTTCACTAAAATACCTCCTTTGACGTCTAATAGTTTCACTTAAATCTCCTCGTCACACAATTCGTCTAAGCCTCAAGCAATCATGGGCACACTAACAATTCCCGGTTTGCATATAGTAATAGGTTTGGTTCTAAACCATCAAGATGTTCAACACCAAATTATGAGGGTTGACAGAATTTCTAGTGGTAGCCTTTAAATTTAGGGATTTAGGTTAGTGGTAAAAGCTTTCAAGATAAAGTATGTGTTTTGTCTCTTAGAAATCTCACAAGAGACTTAACTAGCTGTGGAAAAGACTTTCCCTATTTATAAATTGAAAATAAGCGTAGTCTTAGTAAATAAGAAAACTCACATTCGTGAACAATCGCTCGATTAGTGTGAGGGTGGTCTTAGGATAGTTGGCACTGGAACGAAAATCACATTTCAAACTTGTTCAAGAGGAAATACTACTCGAGCGACCATGAGCAACGCTCAAGTGACGTTGAAGGACCGTTCGAGCGAGCTCTAGACTCCTTCGTAATCTTTTCCTCAAAGAAATCGTTTTAGCGAAGGCTAACAAGAATAGATTGGTCCCTACCCATTTTTAAAGTACAAAATGAAGTAAAAAACTTGTCTTCTTGAGCATTAAAAGGTGTTGCTCAAGCGGGGTATGGTAATAGTTCAATATATGTTTTCAAAATATAATTTTTTTTTAATTCCCAAACTTATTAATTAACTGAAAATACCATTTTTTTGAAAAAAAAATGTATCTCATTCCTGTATTGATCCCATTTTACTTTTATTAGACGATTTTACCTTTATTGCATTTTCGCGCATTTCAAACAAAATCTTTCACCAAAGCTCAATAAAAACTGCCTAACATTTCGTCTCAAAGCTTTCATATCTTACACTAATTCACTAAACGTACTAGCATTGCTAATCAAGAACAAAAACTAGATTTATTTGGTACACGTGCCCTTTTGTTATGTTCGATTGATTTGTAACAGGTGGTTGATTTGATTTCGCTGGTCATCGCGACCCTTTGCCCCTTGAAATTGTTGATAGAAGTTTTGTTCCCCCCTATAGTAGCATTGAACATCGACTTTTCAAATAACCCTTTCCCACACCAATAACAAGTAATGCGGGTAGGGAAGATCCTTGTATAATGTATCACACATTAGTTGTAACAGTCTGATTCTGTCATGCATGTCACCTATAATGCCTCGCACCATACGAGTGTGTTATCTGATAGCTCTGGTACCAAGTTATAATGCCACAACCCAACTCATGCCATTCATAGCGCTAATAAGTCTTCAAATATACTAAACAATCAGATCCTTCAATACATGATTAAGTTCTCTTACCTACTTGTCAAAATCCCACATAATATCCATAAATCATACGGTTAAACCACCCAAAAATTCACATGATATACCAAGCCAAACGAGATAGCTTTACACTTTACAATTGTTCCCGAAGCTAATTATATTAAGATGGACTAGAAAACTACAAGTCATAGCCTTTATTACATTTTCATACACTTGTATGCTTGTTACATTCACATGCTCAACTCTAGTAGTCTAAGCCAAATTAAACACAATAAGCTCATCAAGTCAAGCTCTGCATCCTCATGATTCGAACCAATCTAAAAAGGAGTGAAATAATGTAGGGTGAGCTTCAAGTAACTTAGTAGGATAACTCAATTCCAAAGCACATGAATTTAAAATTAAGTAATTTGACGTGATTGGGCATCAAAATAGTTCATTTCATACATATATAATAGAGCATTAAACGTTGAGCAAAACCAATTAAGTTGAAAACAACACAATCACAACATCAATATAGTGCCACACGGAGAGCAAATAATCCTAATAAAACACCCAAGGTCGATACAAACCAATCATTTAGGGGACTTGCACCCCAAGGAAGATAGATGCCTAATTCAATACCATCCAATTTAGTACCCAAGTCTGAAGACTAATCGGGTCACCCAGGCATTTATGATCCTGTATGCACTTACATTTCATTCAAAAGGATCCCAAAATTTCAGTTTCATATGAACAACATATCAATCGTGTACAGTGCGCATCAAAACCGTAACTGTGTTTGAAATTAGCAAAATGGTACAGACCACCCAATCATAGTTCAAATAACATGTTAAACAATGTAAATAACATAATTGAATAGTTTGGAACGAGCTTAGAAAATCTTGCCCATTCCGTAATTGAGAAACCCTACCACCAATCCAAGTTTGAGCACCACATATCACCAAATGAGAATTCAAACCTGTACCAATAATAATTGAAATCCTTCCTTCCTTTTCTGTTATATTCTTTTCCTTTTCCCCTCTCTTCATTCCAAATCTCTTTATCACAGTAAATATCCCATGTAGGGTTCATTCCAACTTAGCATAGGTGTATTCCGTTCAAAACCTACTTGTATAGTTTTTTTATACATTCTGCAGGTAACATTCATANGTAGTCTAAGCCAAATTAAACACAATAAGCTCATCAAGTCAAGCTCTGCATCCTCATGATTCGAACCAATCTAAAAAGGAGTGAAATAATGTAGGGTGAGCTTCAAGTAACTTAGTAGGATAACTCAATTCCAAAGCACATGAATTTAAAATTAAGTAATTTGACGTGATTGGGCATCAAAATAGTTCATTTCATACATATATAATAGAGCATTAAACGTTGAGCAAAACCAATTAAGTTGAAAACAACACAATCACAACATCAATATAGTGCCACACGGAGAGCAAATAATCCTAATAAAACACCCAAGGTCGATACAAACCAATCATTTAGGGGACTTGCACCCCAAGGAAGATAGATGCCTAATTCAATACCATCCAATTTAGTACCCAAGTCTGAAGACTAATCGGGTCACCCAGGCATTTATGATCCTGTATGCACTTACATTTCATTCAAAAGGATCCCAAAATTTCAGTTTCATATGAACAACATATCAATCGTGTACAGTGCGCATCAAAACCGTAACTGTGTTTGAAATTAGCAAAATGGTACAGACCACCCAATCATAGTTCAAATAACATGTTAAACAATGTAAATAACATAATTGAATAGTT